TTCGTCCGGTTAACTGATATTTCTGCCACATTCAATAGTTTGTGGGGGTTTTATTACTAACACTAATTTTATTTAGTTTCTTGTAAATATATTTTGCCATTTTGTATATATTCATTGGGGATCATTTTTTTTAGAAGTTGTTGTTTTTATGCCCTCCCCCACAGACAATATTTTGTAAATAAGGGGTTTATTTAGGTTTTTTTCATGGAGTCAAAGAGGCATTTTGGTGTTTGTAGTAAGAAAGGTATGGATAAATGTGTTTTGTTTTTGTTCTGTATGATAGGGTCAGTGATTGATTTTTATTGGGATGACCGTCCTTCACCCCTAACCCCTTTTTGGCCTTGTGCCGCATTTGTACTAATGTACAATAAATATATTCACTCAGCTTGCTCCACAACTGAGTGGTTATCTTGACCACGTGATTGTTCGACACACACATATATATATATATATATATATATATAAACGCATGTCTCATTAAATAATTTAGACAAATTTTGTGAACTTTTTTTTAATATGAACTTCTTGTATTCACGGACAAGATTCTTAGTATTCTTATTAAAGGAAGAATGAAAGCTACTCTATTGATGCATATTCATTTATACCGAGTACTTTCGACATTAACAAAATGTCATCTTCAGGGGTTGTTTTATCACTGTGTTTTTATATCTAAGACAAATTTTCTGCGTCTATCAGAAAAGTAAAACTGTTATTTGTCAATTGAAGAAAATATCGAAACTCTTTCAGAAGATCAACTGATCGCAACAACTGCAGAATTTCGGGCCTTACTCAAAGATAAAGCAGTCAAGTTTAGGCATGACAAAAGAAAAAAAACATTAAAAAAAATCTATTACAAATTCCGCTAAGGAACTACGAAATCATCTGGATATAATCGTTAAAAAACAGACAAAACAAACATTTCTGTTTTTTTGAACAAATCGGATTATACTACAAAACGAGAACAAGTACTTTATGGTCATAGTATTTTTTTAAATCACTAGGAATCTTACTAGCCAACTGAAATTAACAAACTTCTCATAATAATGCTGAACACGATAGTTTTAATCGTCCTAAAATAATTGGGGATTATAGGCCTGCAATAAATAGGTTTGATAGAAACGGAAATTAATAGAAAATATTGATGAATTTCATAGAAAATGTACAATTGTATAATTTATATTATTATAAGATGTATGATTGTATAATTTATATTATTATAAGAAACATATACAATAGTGCACGTATGGCACTAAAAAACACACAAACAAAACTATCCTCTCCGTTCTAATATCAGTCAAATTCAACTTCCTGTGTATCAATTAACAAAAATCATACATTCCCAATAAATACAGCATGAAATCAACTCTTTAATTAATTCACATTCTAAAAAAAGAAAAACCTAATAAAGACAAAATTGATATTGAAAAATTTATTCACTAATGTCCCTAGTTAGCGAAATTATTTATATTATTATAAGAAACATATACAATAGTGCATCTCTATCTCCACTCAAAATTTACCGAGACTACTTCTAACCTGCACTACTGAAGTACAATTCTACGATCGCAATGTCATATATATGTACAACGGGATAGTGTTTCTATGGGTTCAGCTCTGGGCCCAACTTTTAGTAATTTTTGTATGTCTAGTCTCGGAAATAATATATTTAATAAATTTAAAAAAAATAAAAACTATACGTAGACCTAAGATATGTCGTTCATATTCTTATCTTAGTCAAGAATATGGTTGAAATATATCAACTCCCCAAACAATCCCAAAATGATTCTGTCATTCAATGTACATAGATTTCTTCTCTAGATATATTGATAAACACTAATAATAATAAATTCACTATCCTCCCTATATAAATAACGTACTAACATAAACACTCTTAACTATAAGAGTGAATGCCCTAATTGCTATGAAATATCAGTTATAAAAACCGTGCAAAAATTAACTCATTCGAAACCAGTTTTTCTAGATTGAACAAAAAATTATTAAAAAACTCTTCTTATTAATAAATTCTCTAATTAGATTGTCGATGAACGAATAAGATGTTCTATTAGACAATTTAATATAAAGCAAATAGGATATGATACTTCTTCAAATAATTCTAAACATATTAAACTTTTATATCGCAATCAAATATAGTCTCATTATAAACAGTATAAAAATATCCACCACGCATCCTACTAAAAAAATAAAAGTAATTAAAAACTATACCAAATTCAATATATCCAATTTAAACATTACTAATGACCCCTCCCCACCAATTATCGGGTTACAGAAAACCAACATTGTATGTAAATTTAAATGTCTCTTGGAACAGAAAAATGTCCAACAGAAAAATAATATATATGTTGGTCACACTACAACTACGTTGTATTGTAGCTTGAGTAATCATTTGAATGATGCATCTAACATTTCTAAACATTTACACCAGCATTCCTGTCCACATTCACCATTTAGACAAATTCTTGTTGAAAATACCTTTATACGTTTTCATGAAAATAATAAACAGAAACTAAACATTTTTGATGCTATCTACATTAAAAAATTAAAAACAAACCTTAATAAAATTAATTTTGAATAGTGCACAAATATTTTAAAATGATTACAGTAGTTAAATTAAAATATCTAGGTTTTAACTAATATCTTTAAAAAAATAGATATCTACTACACCAGTATGCATCCATCATACATTTTAAAAATCGTACAGTACATAAGATTAGCTTCTTTAATTTCACAAATAAAAAAAATAATTTTCAGATAAACACAAGAAATTGGTCATAGATAAAACAAAAACTTGGTAAAACAAGACCCTGAAGATGATATTTTGCTTATGTCGAAAGTACTCGGAATAAATGAATATGTATCAAGATGGTAACTTTCTTTCTTCCTTTAATAAAGATACTAAGACGCTTGTCCGTGAATATGAGAGGATCATAGGAAAAATAAGTAAACAAAACTTGTCTAAATTATTTAATGAGACATATATAAATATATATATATATATATATATATATATATATATATAGAGAGAGAGAGAGAGAGTTTATACGTTATTTTTATAGATATATATATTTAAGTAAATGCTCTGTTTATAATAAACAGTATTAAAAACATTCACCAGCCTGAATGTCCAAGAAATTTCATAGAAAATATGTCCTCCGACAGGAATCGAACCTGTATACTACATGGAACAGTCATTTAACCTGAAGTGCTATACAATTTAGCTATAGAAGAAGGTCGCATTTCTGCTTTTAAATTACAAATTTTACATGAATGTTGTCGAAATTCTCATATCTGATCGAAGCGTATCTTAAAGTAAATACATTTTCTATGAAATTTCATCAATATTTTCTATTAATTTCCGTTTCTATCAAACCTATTTATTGCACTTTCTTCCTTCTTTTCTATTAATTCTTTTTCTTATTTCCTTCCTATTAATTCACTTCTTCCTTCCTTTCTATTAATTCATTTTTCTTCCATCATTTCTACTAATTCTCTTCTTCCTTCCTTTGTGTGAATTCCCTTTTTCTTTCATTATTTCAATAAATTCATTTTCCTTCTATCATTTCTACTAATTACCTTGTTCCTTTCTTTCGAATTATTCCTTTTACTTACTTCCTTTCTATTAATTCCCTCCTTCCGTCCTTTAAATTAATTTCGTTTTCTTCCTTTCAAATAATTACTTTTTCTTCATTCCTTTCTCTTAATTCCTCTTTCTTCCTTCCTTTCAAATAATTCTTTTTTTCTCCCTTTCTATTAATTCTTTTTTCTTCCTTCCTTTCAAATAATTCTTTTTTCTTCCTTTCTATTAATTCTTTTTTCTTCCTTCTTTTCAAATAATTCCTTTTCCTTCCATCTTTTCTTTTTAATTCCCTTCTTCCGTTTTTTAAATGAATTCCTTTTCTTTTCCTTTCTATTAATTTTTTTTCCTTCCTTTTTTAATTCCTTTTTCTTCCTTCCTTTGTATTAATTCCCTTCTTCCTTCCTTTCAAATAATTCCTTTTTCTTCCTTCCTTTCAAATAATTTCTTTTTCTTCCTTCCTCTATATTAATTCCTTCTTCTTCCTTCATTTCAAATAATTCCTTTTTCTTCCTTCATTTCACATGATTCCTTTTTCCTCCTTTCTTTCTATTTCTTTTTTCTTCCATCTTTTCCATTAATTCGTTTTTCTTCATCCATTTCTATAAATTCCTTTTTCTTCCTTCCTTTCTTCTAATTCCCTTCTTCCGGCCTTTAAATGGATTCCTTTTCTTTTCCTTTCTATTAATTCCTTTATTCCTTCCTTTCTATTAATTCCTTTTTCTTCCTTCCTTTGTATTAATTCATTTTTTACTTCCTTTTTATTAATTTCTTTTTCTTCCTTCTTTTCTACTGATTCTCTTCTCCCATCCTTTTTTAATAATTCCCTTCTTCCCTTTTTTTAAAAATAATTCCTTCTTTTCTTTTTTTCTTCCTTTCTTTCTATTATTTATCTTCCTTCCTTTCTATTTATTCTTTTTTCTTCCTCCACCTCTATTAATTCCGTTTTCTTCCATACTTTCTATTAATTCCTTTTAATTCCTTTTCCTTCATTCCTTTCTATTTATCCTTTCTTCTGATTGCCTTTTCTTTTCTTATTTTATTTCCTCTTCGACCCTGTTATCTATCGTACATGTCCTTATAATATAAAATTCTTACCTCCTGTTCCTCTTATACTCATCGAGCAAGTTCATTCAGCAACCATCCGAATTCAGCAGCTCTTAATCCCTTCAAGTACAGTGTCGACCGTTATCTGTCTTACGTATTCTCATAATCTACAAATCTTATTTCCTTCTCCTCGTCTTATACCCATAAAGCAACTTTATTCAATAACCCTCGGATTCGACTGGCTCTTACCCTTTTCATCTTCAGGGTCAAACTTTATCTGTCCTATATATCATTATAATAATCTGCAATTCTTACCTGCCTCTCCTTTTACTATCATAAAACAACTCCATTCACTCACCCGATGTTACTCGTTTCCTTTCTCGATTCATTCATTTCTTTTTACGATAGACTTGGTCACAAGTAAACAGCTTTTTTTTACTATCACTTTTCACAAATATCTCCGTAAATATAAACTTTTATAAGATCAGAGATTGCTTTAGATTTTCTTCTCGATAATAAAAGCACAACAATTATGAAATATCTCACTTAAATTGTAGATGATTTTTCTCCGATTTACCGTCGGAAATTTCTTCATAATTAAAGAAGCGCCAAATAGAAATCATAGTTTGAATCCGCATTAGTGAGAGTCAGCATCTCAATCCGGCTTTTAGTGAGATTCGTACATAGAAATTCAGATTATTGATCATTGTTCCTTTTAGCCTTTGGATAATTTGGATAATAACTTTCAAATTAAAATCACCGTTCTGAACAACTGGTTCAACGGTTAGATCCAAATACTTTCATCCGGACTACTGATGTCCAACTACACAATGCAGAAATAAAAATCTCAGCTATTGAATCCACATTAGTTAAGTTTCACAATTATAAATCCTGGATTAGAGAAGTTTTTACAGCGAGGTAATTCTGAGAGAATTGGAAACCCTACCTCGATTTAGCATTGGCGGCCACAACCCCAAAAACATAAGCAGACGACACAGAAGAGATAGCACGGAAGAGAAATCATAAAATCACCTACAGAAGGTAGCAACGGAGACTGAGAAGAAAGGACTAAGCATAAACTACAAGACAGAATGCATGGTCATGAGTAAAAGGAAGAGCCCGAAATGCGAATTGCATGTCGGGAACACTAGACGCAGAAGTTTAAATATCTGGGAAGCGTCTTGACAGAGGACGGTAAGTGCAACACTGAAATCTGTAGACGTATTGGGATGGCCAAGGACACATTCCAAAAGCTGAGTAGAGTATCTCTTTGGTAACAAAGAAAAGAATGCTGAGCTGTTACGTGACACCTGTCCTTCTTTACGGCAGCGAATGTTGGACGATTTCCGCGAAGATGAAGAGACTCGAAGCGACGGAGATGTGGTTCTACAGAAGGATGCTAAGGATATAGACCGAGCGTGTGAGCAACGATGAAGTCTTAGAGAGGTTGCAAACAAGGAGGAAGCTTATACTTAACATCAGGAAGAGGCAGCTGAAGTTTCTGGGACATATAATGAGGAAGGAGAACCTGGAGAATCTGATACTCACGTGTCGAATAGAGGGAAAGAGAGACAAGAGAAAGCAACGCGTGACATACCTGACGAACTTAAGCCGGTGGATGACAGAACGTGGTCTGGGGGAGGAAGCAGGAGAAATGAGCTTGCTTAAAGCTGCAAGAGATAGAGGGGGGTGGCGAGCCATTATTACCTACGTCCTGAAAGGACATGGCACATAAAAGAATCTTTACGTTTTCCAAAAGATAGGCGTTAGACTATTTTTGTATCTCCAATCTCAGTAATTGTATGACCATATAATCATCAATATCCCTGTCTGGATTTGTATGAAAACATTCGACTATTTATAGGTCAAACAAAGCAATATTTCCTTATACATTATCTACATTATTCGGACTATTGTCCTCATCTTTGTCGCCATGTTCATTACAACGTTTCGGGCCGTTGTACGCTCCGGCCGTCTTCAGGTGGTTGGAATATCGAACTTAACCCTTTATTTCGCTCACCGGGGTAGACTGTTCTAGTTTCACGTGCCATGTCTAATGGATGTCAGTTCTCAGTTATCGCTTTTAATTTCTCCACTGCCTTAACCGGGTATTGGTCACACTCTTTGGGTCCTGTGACTGGATCTATCCAACGCCTTTATCCACTGTGCCATGTCTACCCCAGTGAACGAAATAAAGGTTTAAGTTCAACATTCCAACCACCTGAAGAAGGCCGGAGCGTACAACGACCGAAACGTTGTAATAAATATTGCGAAAAAGATGAGGACAATACTCCGAATAATGTAAATAGTGTACATAATACCACATCTCAGAAATATAGACCAATATTTCCTATTTGCTATGTTCTTTGAAGACATGGTCGACCATGGCTTTACGTTCTGTTTTTTTTTTGTTACTCTAAGAAATTATTGAATTTTTACTATGCCGCTTTGTCATTGCATTGTTATCTGTTTAAACATACTCATTAAGTAGGTGATCATAGCTCTCCACCTTTTCCCATTGTCGTTGTTTTGCCATGCATTCAAACAAACTAGTTAATCGAAATCTACAACCTTAGGAATATACCGGAAAATCTAAGCAGATGTATTTTTATAGAATTGCCTAAGAAATCAGGGATAAACGAATGGGAACTTCACAGAACAATCAGCCTAATGAGCGACATTAGAAAACTAATCATCCTTAATATGATGGCTATGGATTCCAGTAGAATCAAGCCAGCGATAGAACAAGAAAAGTGCGGATTCGTTAAAGAGGCCGGAACAAGGAACACAATATTCATGCTCATAATTTTATCAAAAAGAGCAACACAAATGCAGAAGGACGTGTACGTTTGGTTTATAGATTACGCAAAGGCGTTCGACAACGTATGCCACAAAGATCTGTTGGAACTGCTCGACAACCTTGATATATTTGGGAAAGATATTAGAATAATCAAGAACTTATACTGAAAGCAAACGGCCTGAATGCGGATAGAGAATGAAATCAGCAGATATGCAAAATTAGAAAGGTGCGCAAGGCCAGCATGTGTCTTCTCACCGGATTTATTAAACCTATACAGCGAGGCAATTCTGAGAGAATTAGAAGTCCTACCAGGATTCATCATTGGCCACCAGAATCTTAATATAAGATACGCAGATGACACACTGGTGATAGCAGACGCAGAAAAGAAATTACAAAACCTGCCACAGAATGTAGAGAAGGAGAGCGAGAAGAAGGGACTAAGTATAAACTACAAGAAGAGAGAATGCAGGGTCATCAATAAAAAGATGAACCCGAAATCAGATTTACAGGTCGGTGACACTAAAATCAACCAACAAGGTGCGGAAATTTAAATATTTGAGAAGTGTTCTTGGAACACCCTTTATACAGGCAGGATTTTCATTAAAATAATGTGCAATACATTTTCATAGTAAAATAATGTGCTATGAATTTTAATGGTAAAATCCTTTGCGATATATTTTCATAAAGTTATTTGCAATATATTTTCATTGTAACATAATTTGCAATATATTTTCAGAATAATAAAATTATTTCTTTTCTTTTTTTCTTTTTATTTACTCGAGATTTAATTTGCTTTTATTTACTCCTAACATTTCCTTTTTATTCATTCATTTATTGTTTCTTTCCTTTTTTTCTTTCATTCCCTCCACCATCTCCCTATTTATCGCCTTCTTCTTATCTTTCTTTACTCCCACCATTTTCCTACCTCTTTCTTTCTTTCTTTCTTTTTTCTTTCTTTCTTTCTTTCTTTCTTTACTCACATCATTTTCCCATCCGTTTCTTTTTTCATTTCTTTCTTCATTTCTTTCTTTTCTTTACTCACGCCATTTTCCTATCCGTTTCTTTCTTTCTTTCTTTCTTTCTTTCTTTCTTTCTTTCTTTCTTTCTTTCTGTCTTTCTTTCTTTCTTTACTACATCATCTTCCTATCCGTTTCTTTTTATTCTTTCTTTCTTTCCTTTTTCTTTACTCACACCATCTTCCTGTCCGTTTGTTTGTTTGTTTTTTGTTTGTTTGTTTTTTTCTTTTTACTTTTCTTCCTGTCCGTTTGTTTGTTTGTTTGTTTGTTTGTTTTTTCTTTCTTTCTTTCTTTCTTTCTTTCTTTCTTTACTTTTCATTATTTTCTTTCTTTTTTCTTTCTTTCTTTCTTTACTACATTATCTTCCTCTTGCTTTCTTTCTTTCTTTCTTTCTTTCTTTCTTTCTTTACTCACTCCATATTCCTATCCGCTTCTGTATTTCCTTATTTATTTATTTATTTTCTCACACTATCTTCCTCTCCATATTTTCTTTCTTTCTTTCTTTCTTTCTTTCTTTCTTTCTTTCTTTCTTTCTTTCTTTATTTATTTATTTATTTACTGACGCCATCTTCCTTTCTTTTTATTTATTTCATTCTTCCTTCATTTCATCCTTTATTTATTTTTTATTTGTTTATTTATTTATTTATTTATTTATCACACCATCTTCCTATCCACTTCTTTCATTCATTCATTCTTTATTTATTTATTTCATTCTTTCTTTCTTTATTCAAACTATCTTCCTATACGTTTCTTTCTTTCTTTACTCATGATTCCTTTATAAGTTCCTTTTTATATCTATCATCTCTTTATTCCACCCCCTTCCTCTTTCATTTCTTATTTCTCTTTTTTTCTGATCCTTTTTACCAATATTATTCATAAATTCATTGACTCTCTTTTCTTCTACTGACATTTATTTCTTTTCCATCGTTTGATAACAATTATCGTTTCGTTACGCTTTTCTCATAACCTCTCTTCGTTCATTCTTTTATCCCTTTGTATTATCACCTTCTTATTTTTAGATATAACCGGAAAATAAACTGCAGATTTTAATTACCTCTCTAAAATGGATGGGCCAAATACAAAAGATAAGATTTGGAGACAAAAAATAATGATTGAATTTTTGATGCAATAAAAAGCCATCACTAATTTTAGAACTTGTCAAATATGGAGAGAAGATAGCAACGCTCCTTTGCACCCACCACACAACATTTTGCATTCAAGTTATTGAATTTTTTATCGAAAATATTCCCAATTTTAGTAAACAAAATTTATGTCCTCTTAAATTTGACAATTATTATATTTTCGACTTTCAGATTTTTAAGTGCCTTTATACTTTCATTTTTTCTTTTCTTTTCATTTCTTTCTTAATCCCAGTCAATGACTTTTATGCCTGGCATTATCTTTCTTTCTGTCTTTCTTTCTTTCTTTCTTTCTTTTGATCTTTATAAGTCTTCCTTCTGCATGTCTTGTCTAACGTTATCTTCGCTTTTCTTTCTTCATTTTTCTTTCTTTCTTTTTTCTTTCTTTCTTTCTTTTACTTTCGCATTCTTTTTTTCTTTCTTTCTTATATTTTTACTGGTAACTCCCTTTTCTTCTTCATTTCATTTTTTCTTTCTAACTTCTTTTCCTTCTTTCATTTTTCTTTCAGATTTCCTTCCTTTCTTTGTTTCTTTCATTTTTCTACGTCCTTTCTTTCTTTCTTTTTCTTTCTTTCTTTCTTCATTTTTCTTTTTGTAATTTTTGTCTGATATATATCTTTGCTTTATGTCCATACGTTTTCTTTCATTACTTTCTTACCACATCTCTTTTCATTCTTTTATCTTTCTTCCTTACTTCCTCTCCTTTCTTTCTTTCTTTCTTTCTTTCTCTTTCTTTCTTTCTTTCTTTCTCTTTTTCTTTTCATTTCCCGCTTTTGTTCTTTAAAATCGCCCTTCTGCTTGTTTTTAACGTTAATTTCGCCTTTCTTTCTTCCTTCTTCTTTCTTTATTTTTTTATTCAATACTTCATTTCATTGTTTCTTTCTTGTATTTTTCTTCCTAAATTCTTTTTCTTCTTTCTTCCTTTCATTTTCCCTCGTTTTGTATTTTTGTCTGATATTGCCTCTGCCTTTCTTTCTTTTATTTTTTCCTTAACTCCTCTACATTCATTCTTTTATCTTTCCGCAGTCCCTCTCCTTTGTTTCTTTCATTTTCTTCCTTCCTTCATTCCTTCCTTTCATTCATTCATTCATTCATTCTTTTTTCTTCCTTTCCTTTTTCCTTTCTTTCCTCATTTATTTTTCTTCCTTTCCTTCTTCATTTCTTTCTTTGTTACTTCTTTCTTTCTTTCTTTCTTTCTTTCTTTCTTTTCTATCTTTCTTTCAACCAATCGCAGCATAATTTGGCTTCACTTTTTCTATCTGTCTTTCTTTACATATTTTCCTTTTTCTCAGCTAGTCTGTCTTTTATGGTTGGCATTATATTTTCTTTCTTTCTTTTTTCTTTCCTTTGTTTTTTCAATTTTTTTTTATTACTTCTGTATTTTTGACTGATATTTACTTTACTTTCTGTCTTTCTTTTTTCTTTCTTTCATTCATTCATTCTTTCATCGTTTTTTATTCACTCTTTCATTCCTTCTATCATTCTTCCTTTTTTCTTTGTTTCTTTCTTTCATCGAGTCTAACATTATCTTGCCTTACTTTTTTTTTCAGTCTTTCTTTATACCTCTTCCTTTTTATTAGCCAGTGTTTTTTTTATGGCTTTCATTATTTTTTATTTATTTCTTTCTTTTGATTCCTTCTTTCTTGGTTCATTTCATTTCATTCTTTCTCTCGTAAAAAGCTTTCCTTTGGTACTTTTTATCTGACACAATTTTTGCTTTTTTCTTTCGTTCGTTCGTTTTTCAATCAATCTGACATTATTTCCTTTTTCATTTCGTCTTTCCTTAAATGTTTTCTTTGTTCTCAGCGTTTCTTTTATGCCTGACATTATAATGTTATTTTTCTATAAATACCCTTTTGTCTGATATTATAATGTTCTTTTTCTATAAATACCTTTTTGCCCGACATTATAATGTTCTTTTCTATAAATATCGTTTTTGTCTGATATTATAATGTCCTTTTTTCTATAAATAACTTTTTGTCTGACATTATAACGTTCTTTTCCTATAAATATTTTCTTTTATGTCTGACGTTATAATGTTCTTTTTCTATAAATACCTTACTTATATCTGAAATTATAACGTTCATTTCTATAAATACTTTCTTTTATGTCTGACATTATAATGTGCTTTTCCTGTAAATACTTTCTTTTATGTCTGACATTATAATGTGTTTTTCCTGTAAATACTTTCTTTTATGTCTGACGTTATAATTTTCCTTTCTATAAATACTTTCTTTTATGTCTGACATTATAACGTTCTTTTACTATAAATACTTTCTTTTATGTCTGACGTTATAATTTTCTTTTTCTATAATTTTCTTATTCTTTTATGGTTGTCATTATAATGTTCTTTTCCTATACATACCTTTTTTTGCGTCTTTCGTTATAATGTTCTTTTCTATAATACGGCCTTTTATGCCTGACACTATAAATTTCTTTTTATATACTTTCTTTTATGCTTGATATTATAACATACTTTTTCTATAAATACCTTCTATTATGCTTGACATTATAATGTTTTTTTTCTATAAATACTTTCATGATAACTGTTCTGATGAACTTTTTTCTACGTCACTTAGATTTTATGAATTTAGAGCCCAGTATTAGATTGGTGGCTTCATTTTACACTTTGAATGGGTAAATATAACCGTAAGTTCTATGTTAGAAGTTCCTTCTCTCGAACTTCTTGCATGTGGAACTCTCTTCCAGCTGACTGGGAAGCACGAATGCTTCCCAGTCAGCTTTTTTTTAATCTTCCAAAATTTAAATGCCAAGGCAGTCCTTATCTGTTTTCTTCTTAATTCATGTTCTTTTATAGTTCTCTCTCCTTAATAGTGTTTTTTTTTTTTTCTCATACCCTTTCACAATGAGTAAGCTCTTGCATCTTAGATTTATTCATATCGTCAGGACATCCAAAGAGAAATAGATGAACCATGAATATTAATTATATAATAGATGGGATACCCGGCGATGCTCGGGAGATCTCTGAATAACAGCTTATTATTGACAATCTATTGGTATTTTTTAGCCATCTTATGGAAAATAATTTTTAATACAATCTTTAAAAAATAAACTTCATTGTATTTTTTTTTTCTGGTTTGTTACAAAATAACTAAATTTAGGAAAATAACACACTACTAATAACATGCTGGCGGCTCTTAGGGGGCTGAGCATCCGTATATTTTTTGTTAAAAAGACAATTTATTTTACGATTTAAATACCACGATTTTCAAACAATTCAAACTTAGATACATCTCATTAACCCTTGTTGGAAATTATTATTTTTAAAAGTGAATAAACTTAAATTGAGATATATCTAAATATATTTAAGTTAATCCTTATTTTAAGCCAAAACTGTAGCGAGCCTTACTTCTCCGAAAAATAATTATTTAAAATTTATTTTCGAAGGTATTTTAGATTTCTTTTTAAGTAGAAAAAGTTTTACTTTTAAACATTACATTAGCAAACACTTCTTTATAAATGAATGTAATTACTAATATGAAAGAGAGTAGAAGCAAACAAGATACATTGAGAATTTAGATTTGAAAAGCGATTGTTTAAATTTCAAGTTATATTTGTATTTGAATAGAAAAAAAAACTTTATTTAAATAAAAAAAAAAATTTGGAGAGACAGACATGACTTACGCTCAACATTAGTCGTGTTGAATATTTGTTTTATGAATTTAATTATATTTTGTTTAAATTAATTTTCGAAAAAAATAAGGTACGATATAAGTTTTTGCTTTAATAAAACTTAATTGAAAATTATTTATTTACTTTTTTATGTTAGTTACAATCCAAAAATGAATGAAGTTTATTTTTGAAAGATTGAATAGAAAAACATGTTTTCCAGAAGATGGCCGAAAAATAGTAATAAATCAATAATACACACACATGCACATACACACACGCACACACCTACCCTTTAGCGTGATACTTAATCTGTAAATACAGACAAACCTCTCATTAACGGACTAACAAAGGTCCGTTAACGTCAATTGTTCCGAGATGAGAAGGGATTATTTTTGAGCTATAAAACCACTATAGTAACTACCAGTAGTTATGATCATAATGTAAATACTATAAACATGTATATATGGTATAAATACGTACATATTTAATATAGATATATTAAGCAAAAATAACAAAAATAATAGATTTCTCAAAGCTTCTTTTCATGCACGTGCTAATGTATCGTACTTTCCGTCACGTAGAGAATTAATACGACTCGTTTTGCTAAGCCCACAACTTTTGAAATACATCGCTGACAATTTGGATGGAACGATTTTTGCTTGCAGATTTTTTTTTTTTTTTATTTTGCCTGCAGATTTTGTCACTTGCATCCGAAATCTATTGATGATGGGGGCCGTAGATAAGAGATTTGTCTGTATATTTATTTTGTAGCCGGACGCACAAACACTCACACGAATATTTGAATAAATGAATATTATTTTTTTTTCAAATAATTGTATTTAATATTCATCTTCTTTTAAATTCACTTTCCTGTTTTAATATTCATTTTTTTAAGTTATGCTTTTATTTATTATACGTGAAAATAAATTCAAGAGAATAGAAATTTTAAAAATACCTACTTGGATAGCGTTTAGCAGAATAAAAGAGTAAAAGCAAATGCTAATCCAATTCGAGAATAAGAATTCTTATTGTTTATTTTTACTTTTTAATTCTGAGATTTTCGAATGCATTTTAATTTTAAAATATCTTCGTAACATATGATGATATTTTTTTTACAAAAATTTGGCTTGGGTGATAATGAGTCTGTATACATATTTATTTTGTCATGAAGTATTGCGGTATTTTACTTTTAGCCGGACACACGCTCACACATACACATGCACACACGCACATACAGACAACTGCCCTTTATATAAGTATAGATAGACTAGCATAAAAGCCGCATTCCATAAGGACCTTTAAGCTAGCTCCTGCGCCCAGCTTAGAAAACAGCGATGATAATTTTGAAAAAATAATTTTGAACTTATCAATTTGACCCATGCAACTTCAAAGCCACACTTTAACTCTGATTCGGACTATAAGTCCAATTCTGTCCAAAGGGCCGATTTGGGCCGAAAGTCCGATTCAGGCCAAAATTGAGTTATTTAAGGGACAAAGTCTACGGAAGTTCAAAATATCGCTACTCGAATCCTCTTACTCTGATTCCTTTGATTTTGAAAAAAATAAAATTGATTTCCACATTTCGCAAAGTTTTGGAGATATTTAAACCTGATTTTAAAAAAAAAAGTTTTAAATTCACATATTCAAATACTATTAATTGTAAGTCAACGAGGAAAGAAAGACCAAAGATTGAACTCGCTAACCAGTAATAATCATCTATGGAGATCATTATTTTTTATATACAGCGTGGTGAAACAAATATTCGTACACATACAAATTTTTAATTTATTGTATTTCCAACTAACGAATAAATATACTTTTCATATAATTGACTGTACACAGATGCATAATAACTAAATATACATAGAAGACAAAAAAAAATGATTTAATAGAAATAAATCCCATTTAGCCATTTTAATGGTTCAAAAAAAATATTCGTACTATACAAAAAGAATAAATAATCTTTATTTAATACTTTGTAGAATAGATATTATTCACTTCTATAGCTACCAACCTCTTCTTGTAGTTCTCAATTAATAATTTGCAAACTTTTAGTTGGTATTTTGTTCCATTGTTCGCCGCATATGGTCTTCAGATCCGGGATGTTAGTTGGAGCTCTTGATTGGTTTTGAATTTTCAAATAACCTAACAGATTCCCGATTGGATTTAAATCAGGAGTCTGACTTGGCCATTCCAGGATATTTACATTATTTTTAGTAAGCTATTTCTTCGTAGATTTTACAGTGTTTTTAGGATCATTATCTTGCCGGAAGATCAAATCAGGAGGTAGTTCAAGTTTTTCAACCGAAATCATTAAATTTGCTTCCAAAATATTTTGATATGCTGCGGCATTCATTCTACCATTTATTACAGATGTGTTGCCATTACCTTTTGCAGAAAAGAAACCATCCCTAAACCATGATGCTGCCACCACCAAATGTTACTGTTGGAACTCTGTTCTTTTGTTTGAGGGCATCGCCATCTTTCCTTCACACAGGATACAGTAGGGATTAGAAGATACGGTGGGGTGGGGAGACAAATATTCGTACACACACAAATCCTTCATTTATTGTATTTCCAACTAACGAATAGACATCCTTTTCATATAATTAATAGTAATCAGATGAATAATAAGTAAATATGCATAGAAAACAGAAAAATGATTTCATAGAAATAAATCCCATTTATCCATTTTAATGGTTGAAAAAATATTCGTACTATACAAAAAGAAAAGATAATCTTTATTTAATACTTTGTAGAATAGGTATTATTCATTTCTATAGCTAACCACCTCTTCTTGTAGTTTTCAATTAATGATTTGCTAATTTTAGTTGGTATTTTTTGTTCCATTCTTTTTCGCATATGGTCAACAGATCCACGATGTTTGTTGGAGCTCTCGATTGGCTTTGAATTTTCAGATAACGCCACAGATTCTCGACTGGGTTTAAATAACCTACCGACTATGCTTGAGTAAATGAATGGTGAAATAATCTTTAGAAGAGACAGCAAAAATACACTTTTAAGAGCTACAAAGGTGTTATATAGAAATAAAGTGTCACTGCCGACACTGGA